ATGCATAGTGATTTGAACGTTCTAAAACACAAACTTAATCTTGATATTAGTGAATTTTTCACAATATTATTCGACTATAGCAGAAATTTAAGTTATTTTAATCATATTTGTCAAGGATGCATAAAATTATTTGATTTCTTTCAAAATGAACTTGATGATTTTAAAATTATGCTTACGGATATGTTGCAAATTAATGAAAACATCAATGAAAAGATTTTCTTAATGATCTATCAAAATTTTTGTCAACATATTTATAATCGTTACTCAGCAGAAATGCACAAACTACTCACTTACTATGATTCGTCATTTGAACTTTAAAAAAATTCTTTATTCTCTTTCCGATTCTGATATTGACAATCTCTATGAAGCTGTTAATAATTGGGATGAAAGATTAATCAACACAAAAGCAGTCTTGATTTAGTCATATTGAAAACATTTCTAGATAAAGATAATGATAAAATTAAAATGATTGATCAACAATCATTATCATCTCTTGTATTGAATAAGATTGAAGATTTTAAATCAATAATTGAATGTTTCGAATTTTCTCTCACATGATTATCTAGCATTAAACATAATTTATTTATACGAATTTGACAAACAGAAGATTTTCAAAACGACGACAAATTTTAGACATTATGGAAAATATATCGTTTACTTTTGTAAGTTATAGTCAAGAAAGACTTAAAGAACTTCTCGAATTCAATTATTATTATGATATTACAGTGAATTTCAATGATTTCAGTATTATTCGTTATCGTACACGACTGTGTGAAAATTCTAATAGAATTAAAATGCAAAATGATATACAACAAGATATTGAAATGACCCATTCATTCGTTTCTATTGTTAATATATTGAAAACATAATCAAACATTTGACACTACTCAATATGATTGGCTATTCATATATTCAATATTTTCTAGAACCAAACAATGCTTACATGTATCAAAGGTAAATACAATGAATTGACTGAATTTGAACAGAGAGTTGAAAAATTACAAGTTGAGTGAGAACATTATCTATGTGAATTATATAAAGAACATATCGAGTTGACCTGTTTCTTCTATCAGCAAGTTTGTATTGTCGAATGTTATTTGTTCGATCAAACAGCAATCATCGATAATGCTTATCATTTGCTCAAGTATATTGGCATACAACCCAAACTAATTCAATACAATTTTCAATTAGAGATAAATGAAGATCCGATTGATTGTAGGTGGAGGTGTGGATACGAGCGCAGACAAGATCCACAACTATCAAAAGCCAATAGCATACCAATATCAACACATCCACACCCTTATCTAAATAATCGAAAAATTTCTAATATTACTGTTTAACACTTCGTGAACATGTTCGTCGTAATTAAAAAGAAGCATTAATTGATAATATTAAAAAATGATTTTGTTGATCATGAAACACATCGAATTACACAATATAATTATTATACTCTTCACATCTAACTCTAACACCTGTTTGATCTGTTTTTTTTTTTAGTAAAACAACATGTCGTGAAAAAGCTATTTGGCTTTAACATCAAGTACTTTTAGCAACAAAAAGTGAATCAATGTATATAATGAAATATACCCAACTAGCCATCCGATGGGCTTTTCGAATCGTCGATTTAAGTCGACCGATGGGTATCGGAGCTCCAAATCGAGCCCACGAAGTGCTACTTTTCGTTAGGTCGAGCACTCGGCAATGGGTTGCTTCTACAATTATTTTACAGCTAATAATATTCCATTTCGAGGACTCGAGATATGAATTCCGATGCCCATCGAAGAGCTTTTCCGATGGCTGCAAATTGATACGAGTCGTAGATCCGCGTGTGATCGATGTTGTGTACTGTTCCGAGAAGCTGAAATTTCGACCCTCAAAACTTGGTAAATTTTTAAAAAAAGTTTGCTTTCCGCATTTTGAAACCACTTATTTCCAAGTACTCAACACCTATCGAATATTTTTTCAGAGCAGTAGATTCGAACATATATACTTACGATTACGACGCTTGTACAATCAGATGAATTAAACATGACACTCAAACTTAGCAAACTTATATCTTCTGATTATACATTAAATATTGATAAGATTTTTCATATATGTTCTCGAGTAATTTTTTTTTTTGAAAACTTAAAAGGAATATTGTTACTGTTGTTGATGCAGAAAACAAACCTAACTATATTAAATTTCGTTATGTTAAATATCAATTGTGTGAGAAAATATACAGTACACTTGCATTCATTAGACTTTTCATGATAAAATTATTAAAAAAATGAGAAAAAAATTATGATCAATTTTACACAATTTCTCTCTTTAGAATTTCAATATTCTTGATCGTTGAGAAAACTGTAAGAATGCCTGTGAAAAATATGAGATGATGATCTTAGAGTCAGACATTCAAAAGATTTTACAATTATAACAGAATGACTTCTATACTTAACGAGCAATATAATCTGTTGTTCCTATTTTATTGTTTCAAAATATTTGATACTTTCTAATATCTGAATGGAAATTAATGCTGCAATAAAATAAAGAGAAATTTTGAACTTATCTTTCCTCTTCTAAGGACTCACCTATAGAAATATTATCTGTTAATCTTAATACTGTCGGATGATTATAGAAAAAATTAAATCTAATAAAAATTCGTTTGAAAAATTTCAAAAAAGCACATTAAAATGCAGTATAATTTCTACAATAAACTTTAAAAAACAGATTGAACAAACTCGACAGCTTCAAACTTTTTCACAATGAACTTCTGTTCAATAAAACATTTAAATATCTACATAGTAACAACTAATCGAACAACGATCGATTTTTTCATAAACCGTCTCATTGATGAGCTCTTTGCTGCTTAGACTTTGAATGTCAATGTGATGTCAAGAGCTCAGAATTTGCAATGCGATTAACTATTGGTACTTCATAATGATTATTTTTTAATACGAAAAGCATATATATTCATATTATTTTTTTATCGATGGATATTAAATATTGTGCTAAAAACCATGAACTCATGGATACCTCTACAACAGAAAATAATTGATTGGATGAAGTAATAAATCGAAAGTATAGAATCGCTGAAAAAAGAATTTTAAAGAAGTTTCTATTTATCAAAATTAAATTGCATAGTAACAGTTCTTTTGTTGCTAGGTTTTTCTCATAGAACAATGGCAACTTCAATTAGCTTCGAGAGATCGAAATCACATCCAATTATCGGAAGTAGCTCTTTGATAGGCTTTATCATTTCGACTACTCGGTAATTCGATGGCCTTCGAGTGGTCGAAATCTATCGAAGCAGTCGAACATCAATGTGCGATAGGAGGATGATTCCGAGGACTCCATCTTCGATGGGTTCGAATATCAAACAGAATGAGAAAAAAAAATACCTATTTCAAGTTTCGATCACTCGTAGCATCCCTCACTGATTTTTTTACGACCTGTTTAGGTATATCTAAAGTAATAAAAAATAAATCTTTTGAATTTCAAATTTAATTAGAAAGTCACAATTTACACTTATTCTAGTATAGTGAAATTACTAAAGCAACAAGAAATAATGCTAGTTTCTATATAACTGATTCAATACCAACAATTTCTATTAAAGCATCATCATCTTCTTCACTTTCATCATTATCAAGTAAAGATTTATCACCAAAAAATAAAAATTAATAACAATAATAAATCATCAACTAAAATTTCAATATTAAAACGACCAAATAGCGGAAGAAATAAAGAAAAGAAATATTTGAAATCACTTCGTCATTTATTATCGTCATCAATAATAAATACGAAATCTCAATCAACAACTCATCATTATCATTGTCATGATTCTTTAGCTGTTCCATCGAACCCATCTGATGTTAAAGCTAAACAAACGCGCGAAACATTTTCAGTCGCTGAATGAAGAACCAATTCCACTACAAGGTTTATCATCACTATGATTTCTTAAATATCAAAAACAACAAATTCTTAATATTAATCGTCAACGTCAAACAAGTTTAAATGAATATATTTCTTCATTATTTTATCATAATTCTAATGAAGATAAAACAATAAATAATAATATTATTAAAGATTTATTATCAAAAACAAATATTCGTAAATCATCAAAAAAATGTAGTAGTTCATTAGATGATAATGGCAAATCTACAAATGAAAAATTACCGTCTACTACTATTTCAACTAATAATCGAAAGTAATCAGCAAAAAAATTTCAAAATAACATAGTAAAGTTTTTTCTATATATTCACTATAAGAAATTAACCATACAGTTAGATACACAGTTTTATCAAACACGATCTAAAT